TTTTTTTTTTTTTTTTTAGAGATGAGATTTCACTGTTGCCTAGGCTGGTCTTGAACTGCTGAGCTCAAGTGAGTCTCCTTCCTTGGTCTTCCAAAGTGCTGGGATTACAAGCATGAGCCACTGCATCCAGCCACTACACAACAGACTTTTTTTTTTTTTTTTTACTCAAAATCTTACTCTGTCACCCAGGCTGGAATGCAGTGGCATGCTCACAGCTACCACAGCCTCAACCTGCTGGGGTCAGGTGGTCCTTTCACCTCAGCTTTCCAAGTTGCTGGACCTACAGTTGCACACCACCACGTCCAGCTAATTTTTTAAAATTTATTATAGATCTGAAGTCTCATTGCCTAGGCTGGTCTTGAACACGCCTCTGCCTCCCAAAATGCTGGAATTACAGGCATGAGCCACTGCGCTCAGCTCATACAATAGATTTTTAACTTAAAAAAATCCATCCACAAACAAACGCATAAATCAGTGTAAAATAGAAGTTTTTTGTTTTTTTTTTTAAGTTGAGGTCTCATACTGTTGCCCAGGCTGGAGTGCAGTGGCATGATCATGTCTTACCACAACCTCGATCTCCTAGACTCAGACAATCCTTCTACCTCAGCCTTCCAAGTAGCTGGGACTACAGGAACACACCACCATTCCTGGGTAATTTTTAAATTTTGTGTAGAGACAAGGTCTTGCTATGTTGCCCAGACTGATCTCAAACTCCTGGGCTCAAGCATTCCTCCTGCCTCAGCTGCCCAAAGTGCTGGAATTACAGGTATGAGCCACCACACTCAGCCAGCACAATACATTTTTAATTAAAAAAAATTAATTCACCAACAAATACATAAAACAGTGTGAAAACAGAATAGTTAAAATGATAATAATTCAAATCCTGAGCCCTATCAGAATTTACTTGAGCTAACTGAAAAGGAGTGCCCTGCAACTTCTTAGTTATTCCAGGCTTGAAGAGGCCATGACCTCAGAGCAGGGGTAGATCACACCCCCCCCCTCCGTGCACACAAATAACATGGTTTCTATATCATTTATTTCCAATGTGATGGATTTAATAAGTATTGAGCAGACTTTCCTTCACGTTTTGGATTTGTTCTTCAGTAAGGCAGCACATCTCTAGATACAAGCAAAACGTTAAGAAAGCATGAACTTCTTAAGATGCACTTAAAGCTCTTGGCACAGTGCCTGGAACATGATAGGTATTCCATTGATTTTTTAATTATAATTATGATGATGGATTTTCCCATGCCCAAACACATGCCCTGTCCCCAAAACCTTTTATTGAGGATGCATGATGCCCCCAGAAGAATCAGTGGAGTCTTGCCCTAGAAAGAGGTCACCAACCATAGGAATAGTACACACCTCTTTTTCTTGGAGACATAAACAGGTTTCCTACCACTTTCTGGTGCCTGCCAGACCTCCCCTCCTTCAAAGTGTTCAGAGCTTTCCCTCCCTCATTCCAGCACATTCCCTCTGGAGTCTAATTCTAATGCTACAGGAAGTGTTTTCTACTTCACTGTGTCACTTTTTAGATGTCTTCCACAAGACACTGATATCCCTCTTTCCCCTTAAAATCTTTTTCTTTTCCTCTTATATTATTTCTTTTAACTTTTCATTTAAATTAGAGTGGGTAGACCTAGGGTGTTTTCTCTCATTTTATGTAGCAGAGAGACTGTTATGATTTGTACCAGGTGTAACTGATGATCACCCCCAGCAAGAGGACATAATTAACAGATGGTTGTGACAGTTCTGACTCCATATTTCCTGGAATTTTGTCGTTTTCCTTAAAAAACCACCACAGAAAATTGTCTCATTTCCATGGCTCGTTTAAAAGGGTTCACCTGCAAAATCTGCTTGGAAGTCAGTCTCCTTCCCCAGGTGCTAACCTCTGTCATCTCCATGGCACATGGCGAAGTGCCACCTTCTGTTCCATCATACTTTTCATCCACAGAGTCTTTGTCCCCAGTATTCTGACCCCTCTTTTTGTCCTGTGCCTGGCTGAGTTGGGCACTGCCCTTGGCTGAGTTGGGCCCTGCCCCAAACTCGCCTCCTTGTTCTACTACAGGCTTCCTGTCCCTGCTCTCTCCTTCTCCTCTTGCTTTGCAGGCTGCTTTTACCACCTTCTTGAACCCTCTCTGGACATTCCAGAGATATTCCCCAATCAGCCCATTCTTTTTCTTCCTCCTCCTCTTCTTTTATTTTTATTTTATTTATTTATTTGTTTGTTTGGGTTTTTAGAGACATGGTCTTGCTCTTTTCCCCAGGCTGGAGTGCAGTGGTGCAATCATAGCTCACTGCAGCCTCCAACTCCTAAGCTTAAGCGTTCCTCTTGGGATTGTAGGCACAAGCTATCATGCCTAGTGCCCCCAATCAGCCCATTCTAACCCAGTTGTTAGCAACATAACCAGACTTTATCATTCTCAGCATAGCATAATTTATACAATACACCATACAAGACTTGATTTCATTCATATGTATACATATATGAATATAATATATATACTTTTTATTTTAAAGATGTGGAGTACAATTCAGGATTAGGGACATTTGTTTTGAAGAATTATAATTCTCAAAAGTCCACATTCACCATTAAATGTGCTACCCCCCCCCCTGGGATGAACACCTACTTCAAGGTACAAGTCATTTCCTAACTTCTCTCTCCATTGTTATATACTCTTTCATTGTTATATACTTTCATATACTCTCTCTGAAATATTCCAGACCAAGGAAGAAGAGTAGTACCTTGGGGTACTGGTGATTCCAGTAGGAAGTCCCTTTCTCCCGAGACCAAAGTGAAATGGCTAGGCTGTCGCCAACACCTTCGGAGGAATTCAGATAAGCCTCAACTGGGATTGAGCCTCAAAACATGCTAAACACCAAAGATGAACCAGTATTTATGTATGTCCCTGTTTCAGAAAAGAGAATGGTTGCTATTGGCCAAAGGGGAACTCCTGAGCCCAGGACACAGCCAGAGGGTCCCTGCCAGCACCTTCTATGTGATCATACCATCACACTCCCTCACACTGCTGGTGAAGGCTGTGGCTACACGGGAACTAATGCTGCCTGGCCCCTTTCCCCTGCTGCCTGAAGACCCCCCTGATGACAGCCTTAAGATTGTGGAGGCAAGTAGAGCCCAGATGCCATGGACAGTTATGGGGGAGAAGAGTTCAAAAAAGAGATGAGAAAGAGGAGTGAGCCCATGGGGAATGGGTGGGAGTGGAGGGTAGAGTGTGGTAAGCGATAAGAGAAGCAAGTAAGGATAGGAATGAGGAAATGGAAGAAGAAAGTCGACACTTCGATTAAGCAGGGTAAGAAATGAAGAAGAAGGGAGACTGGCCTGAGGAAAATAAGGTTGAGGAGAGAGAGAATTGAGAGTGAAAGGATCTTTGGTATACGTGACTGACTCGGAATTAGAGCCATCCTAGAGGAGCATAAGATGTGTGTATTCACACCCTTGAAATCTGATTAAAGGGTAGCTGTGAAGGAGAAAAGGGAAAGTGTCATAGAAGGGAAACATGAAAGCAGGCAAGCGAGGGTGAGTGGAGGCAGGGGAGGAAGTCGCCACACAGGCACCTCCCGCTCCAGGTGATGCACTTGATTCTTGTGTGGTTTCGTCTATGCACTGGCTGGCACTCCTGCTGCTACAGCCCATCCCCATCTCCACCCTGGAGAGGAGATTGTGAAATTAGAAAAGAGTGAAGGGAAAGGAGAGGACACAGTGGAAGGCAGAAGAAAAAAACAAAGGCAGAGGGAGTAAAAGGTGACAAAGAAGCATCCATCTTCGTGTGGGTTTCCATGTCTTTGTGTTATTTTTGGGTCCCTTAGTGTGTATGTGCTCGAGTCTCTAGGTTGGTGGCAGTGTATGCAGATAGGCCTGTGCACATCTGTATGATGGTGAGTTCTTATGGGTCTAATTATCTGCATTATATGTGTGTGTGTGTGTGTGTGTGTATACCTGTGTTTGTGCACATCTATTTCTGTTTGTTGTGAAAAAGAGGAAAAGGCAACCAATGTAGGAGCCCAGGATAGGAAGGGCTTCAAAATAAGACTCATATGCAAAGGGAACAAACAGCTCTGAAAGCCATTTTTTTCCTCCTCCTTTTTCTCCTCCTCCTCTTTCCCCTCTCTTCCTTGGATTTAGATTCTGTATTTGCTCTGCTGAGGGTGGGAGGGGTGATTCTAGGCAGGGAAAAGTGGAACCATGTTGCCGCTGGCTCACTGGCTTATGGCAGAAAGGACAAGGCCTAGGATTGTGCTCCTGGCTTGGCGGCTGCAGAGATGCAGAGAGATGAGCACAAGTGGCCATGGCTCACTCAGTGTCTCACTTCTGGGCCAGTGGTTCCTGGCACAGGATGTTATGGCCGGAAAACCTGACTGCACAGGAATGCTGTAATCCCGTGTCCCCCCTTTTACATTCAGCTTAGCTCACCTAAGAGAACTCTGAGAACTCCCTGTACTCACCTTGAGGCTGTGAGCACGCCCACCCTGTCAAGTAACCTGCAGACATACCCTCCCTCTCCCTCGATGCTCGCACTGGATCCCTTGTAACCCTCATGGTGCTCCCTTTGGGGGCAAGAGTGTTCAGCATTCCTAAACACCTGGGGTTGCTCCTGCTTCTCTACCCTTGCCTGACATTCACCTCACAAGCACTGGATCTCAGGCCTTCACGCTTCCTCCAGTCTCTCACACTCGCTGGTCTCTGCCTGATGTCTTGTGTCCTATGACTTCAAGTTCCCTGAGTGAGGCCCCTTCTCTCTTTTTCTCAGAGCATGCTGGACAGCCTGGAGCTGGAGCCCACCTACAACCCCTTGCAGGTTCAGAGCCACCTGTACTCACACCTGAGCAGCACCTTAGCCAAGCCTCAGGGGCGGCTTCACCCAAGCTGGGAGAGCCGGCCCCAGAGAAAGGTACTACTCATCTCCCTCCCTCTCCTTCCTTACTTCCTCTCTCCTCTTTATGCCCAGAGTCCAAGAAAGCCTCCACCTCAATCCCCAACACTGCCCCCATCCAAGGGAGTAGCCCTCCTCCCAGATCCCACCCCTGAGAGAAGGGAGAACCAGGCCAACAGGGGAGAAAAAAAAGACAAAAGAAACTAGAACCCTTACTGGGTACAAAAGTTGGTCCATGTAGGCATTTACATAAGATAATGTTTAGGTGTTTTAATTGTAGTGTTTATGGTAACTCATTAGTCACTTAACAGATGTGTGCCTTTAAGCAAACTGGCTACACAGGAACTACAATCACAACCCTCTCCTTGAAAAAAAAGGCCGAAGGGAAGATGAGAAAATAAATGCCCAAGGGAAGGGAAATTAACATTTATAGAGCACCGGTCATTTGCCAGGTTTTATAAGTACTTTCACATATATTTTTCTCATTTAATCCTCACAGCATCCCTGCAAGGTAAGTGTTATGCTCATTTTTACAGATGAGTAGAGGAGGCTGACCAAGTAGCTTGGAGGCAGGGCTTTGGTGACAAGGAGATTAAAGAGAGAAGAGTAATCGAGGATGAAGAACTATTTTTATGAAGTCCATGTTCTATAATATTTGGGTTTCCTTTGCCCTTATTAATTTTTTCCTAGTTTTTCAGTAATAGAGCCTTTGGGGAAACGTCTTAGCTAAATTACAGAAGAAGGATGTTTCCATACTACAGTCAATCTAGAGGTGGGAGCAGAGGTCACAAGTTAGCTGATGGACAAGCTGACAGAGGAGAGACACTGGGCAAGGTGATAGGCACCTGTGGAGGCCGGGGCTCAGGAGACTCCACAACCACGGTCCTGGGACTTGAGGCTATCACTCCACAGTTGGGACTTACGAAATAGTTAGGACAGGAAGCCCAACAGGAAAAGGACAGGTGCGCAGGAATTCTGGTCTTCAGAGAAGGCTCTGGTTTCTTTGCAGGTTGGGCAGCTGCAGACCAACCGAGCTCGGGCCACAGTAGCCCCCCTGCCTATGGCTCCTGCCCCAGGCAGAGCCCCCAAGATGCCAGCAGCCAGCAAAGCTTCCTCAGAAGACTTCTTCCTGCCTTTGGAGTGGGAGGAGTATCCCTCGGGGCCCTAAGTCACCAGCACCAGATCCCAGCTGCCCTGCTTAACGACATTCATGCTAAGGCTCGCAAGATGGCTATCTGTGGTCAGACCTGCTTTCCATCCACCTGAGCCTCTGTGAGTTCAGGATGGCTGGGCAACAGAGACTTCTGCTCCATTTTTGGTACTGCCACCACCCCATTCCTCAGGCCAGCAAGTGACACACCTGATGAGCCTGTCCCTTCAGGGACTCCTGTTTTCTTTTGGATCATTTGTTTCTGTTAACACAGATGGAGTTAAACATCCAGGAAGCCTCCACCATTGTTAGGAACATTCCTAGCTTAGAATTTCTTCTTGTAGCTCAGTGTAAGCAGGTGGATGAGGTTAAGTCACCTTCAGGAAACTGGGCCTCAGGAACAAGGATGAGGTTCTCAGAGCTCATTACAAGTAGGATTGAAATCCAAGCCTCATCCCAGAGACTGCGGCCTTCCCACTACACCCACAACACTGCAGTTCCCTTCAGCCTCCAAAGAGACGACGAGTACCTGATGCTTGGTACCTACATGCAAAGTATGTGTCGGGGTGAGGGAGAGGGAGCAGGGGCTGTCATGTAGCCGAGAACAGGGGAGAGGGCGGTATGAAAAAGGCCTGCTCCTTTCCTGCTACCCTTTCCCCACATGTGCCTACCTTCTTGCTGATCTCTCCATCCACAGAATAATCACTACCATTTATAAAACACTTACCTTGTGCTTCATATTATTCAAGAATTGATCACATTTCATACAAACAACCCTGTGAGGTTGACCCATTAATAGTTTTCCCAATTTATAGGGGGCAGCAGGGGAAACGGGACTTGTAGACATTGTGCAACTCACCCAGGGTCACAGAGCTAGCATCCAGCACAGGTCAGCCTGACTTGACTACCCAGACTCTGAACCGCACAGTGCTCAGCTCCCCTCCCAGGAGCCCTTTCCTCTTTCTATGGCTCCCAGTACACGCCTGGTTCTCCTTTTGATTCCCTCCACACCCACCCAGCCAACGTCCCCGCTTTGTCTATTCACACACAGACCGCTTAAACCCAGGCTGACTTTAATGAGAATTGCAAAATGTTTTATATATTCTCTGGCAAAGAACAATGCAGAGGCAAGGATCCAGGTACCATCCAACATCTCCCCACAGCCTCCAACAGTCCCCTTAAACTGCACCCAATCCCACCAAGTACCCCTTTCCACAGACCTGGTCCAGCAGTTGTCCCTTCTTTGGGGGAAGTGGGGAAGGGATGGTTTCGGGGTGCTGACTGGCCCTCCCCAAAGCCATTCCTCAGCCCTACTATCTGTCCATTTGCTAGGACTTTCCCAAACTGATTGTCCTCCTCTTGACTTCCCTGATCCTCTGGTCCCCTGGTCTCACACAGCCCTTCCCACTGTGGTTCCAGCTGGTTCTAACAGTCTTTTTTGATACCAGTGCCAGCTCCCATTGGACCTCCTCAGCAAGCCTAGTCTTGCCCTATTTCTCAGGTAGAGCTCTCTGACTTGACCCCAGCCCTGCCAGTCCCTACTCTAGAGAGCCCACAGTCCCAGCTCCCTGAGGTCCCACTCTTCTGGACCTGGCTGTACAAGGCAGTGTCAGAGCTCTGGCTTTTGCTGCCACTTCCAGTTGCAGTGCCAGGTTCGGGGAAGGCCGGGCCCTGGGGCTTGGGAGCCAGGAGGGGCTTAGTGCTCCGAGGAGGTGGAACAGCGTAGTCGTCAGTGGCAGGATTATAGGGGAGTTCATATCCCTCCTCCTTCATCCGAGCCTGGCACCACCATGCATCCTTGGGCTCCTGGGGCAGATCATAAAGACCCCGGGGAGGGGCTGGGGCTATGCCCTCCGGTTCATCATAGATGGGGTCCTCTTTGGGGTCCGTCAGCTTGGCCTTCAGCAACTGCTGCTGCACGTGTTCATACAAGCCCCAGTAGAGAGGTTTCTTCAGCCCCTCCCCTACCACAGCAGGGGTGCTGTCCAGGGGATCTGAGTACAGGGAGTCCTGAGAAGGGCCTGGAGCAACGCGCAGGGAGTCTAATGGTTCAGCATACAGGGCTGGGGGACTGCTGAGGAGTTCCTGGGGGCCGGGAGGGGGAGCCAACCTTCCCTCTGCCACCTCCCCTTCATGGGAGTCAGCTCTGAGAACATCCTGTCCCTGCCCAGCCTTTCCCTGGGCCTTCTGCCGGTTGATGGCCGTCTCGACAGCCTGAAAGATGTCATTTCCCTGTGCTGTCTGGAAGGTGAAGTTTCCAGGGCCTGAGGGGCAGCGGCGGCCAGCCTCAAACGAGAACATGACCTGAGGAGGGTATAGAGGGAAACACATTACCAAGAGCCATCAGAGTAGGTGAGTCACAGGGCCTGAAATAGTTAGGGTCTGTACAAAGAAGAGACTACTCGGGGACGGAGGTGGGACCACAGGTAGATAAGGAAGGGGGATTCGAAGGTCAGAGTTTCCCATCTTCCTCTCTTGCCCCCACCCTGCCCACAGCTGCCCAGACCAGGAAGCCCTCCCTGACGTTCCTCCCTGACAGCCCCTGCACCTTGTCCCGGCCATAGCGACGCAACAGAGTGTACGGCCACGAAAAAAGCGGCTCCAGTATCTGAGTTTGGGCCCCCGCGGTCAGGAGAGTCAGCCTCTCAGCCTCTACCCTCAGCACGTAGGAGCCATGCAGGCCACAGCGCTCGGCGGCCTCAGTCCTCTGCACGGTTACCCAGAACTGGGATCCTGGAAGGCATACACAGGCGGGCAGCTGGGGAAAACTGGAGGCTGGGTGGGGGCACTGGAAGGACTCAGGAGCACAGTGCGCAAGAATTCACTTGGAAGCCGGACCTCAGGGGCTTCCTACGTCCCCAGCGGGCCCCTGGGTGCCCGCCGGTTTCCCAGGGGCACTCCTTCCCACTCCATCCCTGTCCCGGCTTCTCCGGCATCTACCTTCCCAGGTGGGACTGTATAAGGAGTTCTCCAGCATCTCCAGCGCAGAAAGCTTCGGTGGGTCCTCGGTGGGCGCCAAAGCCCAGCTGCCTTTCTGCAGTAGAAAGAGCGTCGAGGACCCTACAATTCCCTCGACGCGGCTTGGGTGGGGTCTGAGCCAGGCCCGCGTCGCTACCACCATCACCGCCCCCACCTCGCCCCGGCCCCTCGCCGGCAGCCGGGTCCCCTCACCGGAAAGGCGTTTCGGCACAGCGTCTGCACCCAGGCGGCGCTGGACGGCGCGTCGGCCGCCAGCAGGTGTGAGCGCTGCGCGGTGTCCAGGCGGAAGGCAGTGGCGCCGGGCTCCGGGGGGCTCTCCACGGCCACGGGAGCCACGCTCACACACTCGGCCAGACGGATCACCTTGCAGTCCAGGCGGCGCGAGCCCCCGCGGCCGCCTCCGGAGCCCGACCCCTTATGGTCGAAGAACTCCAGCCGCGCTACGCCGTGGGGGCTGGCCGGGTAGAGCACGGCCCAGGTCTTCCTCCACCTCTAGGAGAGAGCAGCAGACGCTGGGGAGGGAGTGGCGTGCGCGCGCGGCCCGGGCCCCGACGCGGGGGAGAGCGCGGCGCAGCCAGATTTGGGGTCTGGGGCTCCTCGACCCGGG